TCCCAAAACACTGCGATCACAATGGTGACGGTGCTGATCATGTCACAGTCAAAACACTGCGATTACAAAGGCGACAATGCTAATCATGTCACAGCCAAAACACTGTGAACCCAAAGGTGACGGTGCAGATCATGTCACAGCCAAATCACTGGGATTACTAAGGTGACAGTTTTGGTCATTATACGACTAAATCACAGGGATTATTAAGGTGACAGTGCTGGTCATTTCACTGCAAACACACTGTAAACACAACCATGACAGTGATAATCATTTCACTGTAATAAGGCAGGTGAGACTGCCAGGGCAAACACCTTTACCTGGTACTGCATGCTTCTTAGCAACGGAGCAAACGTAGCAGACTGTTGACACCGGAATGTTGCCATCCAAAACCACTAGCTGGGCCGAGGACAGCTCTTCTTCAAAGTGGGACACCTACGGAAGAATGTCTCCTTTCACTTTCTGATACTCTTCCTAAGTCAAAGTCAATGAAATCTTTCATTGTCACTCACTGATATATGATGCATGGAGTCATACACTGTAGTGAAATATTTTTCTTCTTGGTCATAGTGCAAACAAGAAGTAATAAATACAACATAATTACTAAGACATTAAAACATGACATGAACATTAAAACGTAGATGAAGACATACAGCTAACCACCTGACCGGTAAGGAAAGATAATGCAAATTTGGTAAATCACATCGTCCATCTTTTCCTCTGTACCTGGGTTAGACATATGTCCTTTGTAATCTGAAACTAGTTTTAATCTGTTGTAATACAAAAATATGCTTTATTGTGAGATAATTAAATCTGAATGTATTTTTTCTTTGCTGTTGTAAAACTACGCTGTTAAAAACAAACATCTAATCATTCAAGTCTGAAAAATCTATTTCAAAATTTCCGTGAACTGTTTACACTGAATTACCAGCTGGTTTCTGCACACTGATTTCTCAATACACTGTTCACAGAAGAAGATAAAGTGAAACAAGAGCCTGTTAGAAATGAAAGGTTGAACTATTTGAACATGCTGAATCTAAAATAGGCTTCTGTCCCTTTAAAAAAAAAACTGGTTTCAGTACAGACAAAGGATCATCACAGAAAGAGCACCACACACTTGAAAGTGGGAAGTACGTAGAAGAGCCATTTCACTGCGTCCTTTCACTGCCACCACTGGCATACTCACATACTGTGTCGTGATTTGCTGGTGGATGTCCATGTCACCCAATCCCATGCTCAGCTCGCCGGTCTTGGTGATCATTACACAATAGGTTGCGGTCCTCTGCTCCCGTAACTTAGCAACCGCACTTGTATTCTCGGGAGTAGGAAACAAAATTCAGGCAAAAACACACGCATCTTGGGATGATTCAGAGTGATAATGCATGGATGTGAAAAATACAGTACTTTATTTTTTTTATAAAACAAGCATAGTTTTAAAACTACAGAGTATTAACAGTGATATCAAATTGCTCTAATTTTTCCCTTTTTGGAATTTAATCCCTCTGGCTCACTGTGTAGGAATTATCTTACATAACTGGCTGATAAGGATTTGTTCAGTGGTGCTCAGTTATGAGTTTTCTTCCCAGCACTGAAAGATTGTGGGTTAAATACTGGGGCAGCTCAAACCAAAGATTTGAAAAACAGCCACAATGAAAAAAAGAAAAACTGCACATTTGAATCAAGCAGCTTCATGCCAGAGAGATTAGCCTGAGCCCCGAGCCAGCGAGCGGCTCAATCTCCACGGCCTGTCAACCAGCCCGGACGCAGCGAACGCAAATGGGCCTCTGGGCCGTGGAGGAAGACAATGGGGACAGGATGGGGTAATGTCACATGGATGCGCTGGAAGCCATGTGACATCGGAGACGTGTTCCGGCCGTGCCGCCTGCCAGAACCCTGGGACGAGGCCTCGCGGCGTGGAGACAGATTATTTTGCTGCGTCCAGATTCCTCGTGACCTCCAGAGTGTGCGGAGAAACAACATGATGCTTCCCTAAAGCAGATGTTCCCTGCGGCCTACATAACAAGGATTGGTGTTGGGATCAGCACTTCATGGAGAACCCATCAGGTCAAACTTGGAATCAGGTGATGAGCCAGAGAAGTGACTCGACACTCACTACTCCAGAAATCACTCCTTGTGAGTGTTACCTACAGCACTGAGCTTCACACACTGGGATCAGACTGACAAAAAATGCGGATCCGGTTAAGGCTTGTAAGGTGGATGAATATTTATTTGTCGGAACTGCATTTCCATATAGCATGAGTTTGAGATGCAAGACATCCTAAATCACTGTCTTCAAGGGGGCATAAAGGAACAAACACACACACACACACACTTACCATGTGCTTGCAATAGCCCAGGAAGGCATCGCTGTGAGAGTCCGTCCCGACGGCCGAGATGAAGAGGGGGGCATCCCCCAGTCGGCTCAGGCAGTCTGACAGGGCAGTTAGTACCACAGATGAGAGTCACCATAGATCAGACGCGCCCACCACCGCCGCCCAGCAAACAGCCGGGACGTAGGATAAACAACCCAGCCCGCTCGGAAATTGGAGCCATTAATCAGAACCTACGACTGCATACGTATCATTAGCTCCCTAATGTTATCGTTACAGCACAGATGCTGCTATCTGTGGGGCCTCATACTCCTGTTTAAACTTTTAAACTAAACGTGCCAGGTTCTGTAGGACAGCAGCAGGCACCTTTTTGGTCCAGACACTATGCTAGCTGCTGGTAGCTGAACCCCAGTAATATTTGCACCATATGTACCAGTGAGGCTCTAACCCATCTCACCACTTTAAATGGCTGGAACCTGGGGAACTTCTAGGATTTGACCCTATGTGGGGCTGAAGAAATACAGGATGCCATCCCCCACCTCACGAAAAAATTTGCCGAGCAGAGGGGGAGGGGGTTCCCACATGATAAAATCTGCCTAGCTGAGAGTACGAAATATATACAAAAATATGGGGTGCTAAATAGTTTTATAATAATTATTGCTAAAACTATTTAAAGCTGTCATCTATAATGCACTATAGATACCTTCAAAATGCATTATAATGGTCAGTATAAGACTGGTCAGTATAAGGATGCTTTGTACAGCATTATGAAGGTGTCTATAGTGCATTATAGACCATTCATAATGCATAATTAACATGCGATAATGTGATATGCCATTTTATAAATATTTAACCCATGTTTATAATGCTTTATGAATGTGTTCATAGATTCTTATAGACATGGCATTCATAGAAAGTACTACTTAATTCATTTTCAGGGAGGATGAGACCACCCTAAATAGGGTCTTGTTCTGCCTATGGCTGGCACATATTAACTGGACTTCTTTGAAATTTTCGGCAGTACACCAAAATGGTTGCATTTTTTTCTGCAAGAAAATCTCTTACCGGCTATGTTTCTTCCCACACCACCGAAAGACTGGAAGACACTTCCCGGATTTGTCTGGCCAAGCTGAAGAGGGAATCGAACAGTGCTTCTGACAGTTTAATTCAGCAAGGCCAATCAGCTCATACTGTATGTCAGCTGCAGACCAAACACAGACGAATGGCAGCAAGTAAAGAGCTGCTGGGAAATGTCAGTGCCCAATCAAAATTGTAGTTAAAATGACAGCAGTGAATTTACATGAACAATTCTGACTGGTATCACGTCCCTGATGTCCTCTGCCTCAGATCCAGTACTGTGTAGGATATGTTCAGGCCGTCCATTACCATGTACTGGATAAGTGGTTGGAAAATGGATGGACAGAGGAGCACAATTCTGGAATCTACCTACCATATTTTAAAATAATCCACCATATAAAAAAAATACCAGACAAACCAAAGCAGATGATTGCCATCTGCTGGACACATTGAAATACTACTCCAAAAAATAATAAAAAAATAAAAACAGTGATTAAGTCATTTCCCATGTTTTCATACATTATCAAAATCTGTTTATGTAAGTAAGTTTGAATTTTGGATCTTAACCTAGGGGAGGAAAGCATAGTGCAACCTGGATGCCAGTTACTCTCACATATACAGTAATTTCAGAGTTGATATTTATAACAAAAATGTCCTAGCTGGAGCAGTGAACCTGAACATCCTTAAATAAAGCATGTTTTACTTTATTTTTGGTTTGGTCAGGACACAAAAGGACTGTTGTCTAATGTTTCACAAACCAGACAATTCTTCACACAAACATAATGTTCAAAGCTGTAAATGACCATAAGCAGGTGGAAACATACTTACCAGTAGCTTCTCAGATTTCGCTTTGGTGATGAAGTCCACGTTCACCCCACCAATAACGACCTGCGGTACAAAAGATTTCAGAAGAAAGGCAGGAAGCTTTTTCCTGATTTGTACTCGGCTGACGGAGGAGTTTCGCATAGCATGGGGTAGTGTTTCTCAACCCAGTTCCTTCGGCGAACCACAGACAGTCCACGTTTACGCTTCCTCTCAGCTCCCAGCGCACCTGTAGCAGGCATTCGGTGATCCTGATTGGCTGGGAGTTGGGAGGGAGCAAAAACGTGGACCGTCTGGGGTTCGCCGAGGACTGGGTTGGGGGTATTGGCGGCCCTTGGCAAGTGCCCGGTTCTGTTCCAGTTCAGCACTTCACTGCGCCACACGGTAATTTTTCTATTCAAATAATGTTAGATTTAATATCTTAAGACCTCAGAATTATTTTTCACTCAAGATAAAAAGTATTTATTCTCTAGGATGTGCAAGATTTCCTCTGAGTACCCTGGTTTTATTCTGTACTCTAAGCACATGTGGTTTGATGAAATGGTGTCTCAAAATTGCCCATAATGGGTGCAATCGCATGAGTTTGTCCAATGCTCATTTATGCAATAATAATTTGCTCTGTTTTGTTAGTTTAGCAAATGACAAAATAAAGCAAGCATGTTATATTTATAGAAACACCTGTAGCCATTACAGCGATTCTTCTCAAAATGTAAATTAGGTTTAACTTTATTAGAATTTGAATGGTGTGATTAATTCATTTAAAAGTTCAGATAAGGACACTTAAGTCCCAGACAGTCAGCAAATTCGGGGCTTTCTGTCACGCCCAGCTCGTACGATCCTCGTGTGTGCCACGCCCCTCATTACCTACGTGTACTACCCCAATTGTAATCACCTGTTGCTTGTTCAGTTCAACCTGTCTTGTGTATTTAGTACACGTCTGCGTGAGTTTCCCTAGATCTGTCATTGTGATGTTTAGTGCTCGTTTTGCCTGGTGTGCCTCCTGTCCAGTGAATAAACCCCGTTTGTCCGTATTACCGGCTCTACTCGCCTGCTTCCCCGCTTGTCTGCCTGCACGCACGTAACACTTTCTTTAACTTTTTTCTCAAAGAAGTGACCACAAAAGTATAGAAAAACATTCTGATGTCTGAGGGGTGTAGATATAGAACAGAACACCTAAACTGACCACTCTTATACCTGTGGTTTTACTGCATACAAACACAATGTATGAGCCCTTGCTCATATTCCTAGCAATTCCAGTAACAGAAACGCTCACAGCAATAGCAGCCGACCTAAACACTCACAGACTGGGGCTGCGGTGGCGGGGGCCTCTCCTTTTGGGGGGGTGGGATCTCCGGAGCCCTTCTCCTCCTGCGTAGATCTGACAAAGCGCAGGCAATCTGACTGCCCACTTTAGCGTTGTTAAGTATCAGAGCCATATCTTGGGTTCAGGAGTTTAAGGAAAGTATGACAATGACCCCCAAAATATTTTTAAATACAACGTTAATCTCTTACACTTGGATTTGTCTGTAACTGTTTGGCAACGCATAACATTTCATGTGACCTTGACCCAGAAACTTTGCACTCTAATGGGAGGAAATGCTCTGTGCTTCTGTTTATCTATAACAATGAAATATGTTCAATTCTGATGATGGGAAATGTTCTAGACTTCTGTCTGTGTGTAATTACTAACAATGCAGATCATAACTATTTGAGAAAGGAGTCATAAACCAACAACAAAAATTTAGGTGAAACTAAATTGTGCCAGGAATGCCAACCTGGAAAAATGAGCTGTTACAGAACTCACTTCCATCACATTCTAGAAGGTTCCTACACTGGAAAAGCCTTCTGAAGGATGCTGGCCTGTAAGGACCTCCCCTGGGTCAGCTCACTGACTCGCTGCAGGATGAAGGGGGTCACGTCTTTACCCCTGATATCCTTCATGCTGAAAACAAGCAGAACACAATGCACAGTCTATCAAAGTATGACCCAAAGTCTGAAACTAACCTTCATGAAATTGCTTCAGTCGAAATCCAGCTGTATAAGGGAAAGTGTAAATGAATAAAAACTATCTATGCTTCATAACCTGCTGCTGGTAGACATGTCATTAAATACATAACCAAAGATGTATAGAAAATGATTTTGCTCCATCACTTTCCATGAGAGTGTATGATGACCTGCTTCTGCATTGTGTGGGGATTTCATGTAGCTTCTACATTTGCTGGTGCTGTATCAGCCCTTATAGTCTAACTTTGTAGCATATCATAAATATTTAGCTCTTGCTAAAGCTCAAAGCTGCTGGGATTTTAGGAATTGTGGCAGCTTGGATTGAAAACTGGTTAACTGACAGGAAGCAGCGAGTAGTTATTAGAGGCACAATGTCACAGTGGGCCTGCGTTCATAGTGGGGTACCGCA